GCCAAGGCATCCAGTTCAAAGGGTTCCTCTCTTTGATATCTCCTCCAGTGCTGGAGAGCCTTGAGATCTGGGGCCTAGGACCCTAGGGAGCCCTCCGTCAGCAGCGGAGACGGCTATCTGCCTGCACCCAGAACGGAGGAGATGCACCCTTGCCCTACAGGTGCAGGGTATGTGGGGGGCTGTGGCCAGTCAGCAGGTGAGAGGTGCTCCAGCTTCTGGGGCTGGGCAAAACATTAATGGATTGAGGACCAGGAGAGACATGACCTCTCTTGCTCCTTGTCCCGTGGCTCCTGGGTGGGACGGTGCTGGCTGCAGGGAGCTCTCACAGCCATCTAGGCACACGATGGGCTTGTAGTGCCTGGGTGGGTACTGCGTGAGAGGGCGTCCCCAGGCGAGCCCCTTGCCTTGTGTGATGTTATTGACGTAAACTGGGACTGTATAGATCATGGTTGCAACCAAGGTCCTGTAGTGGCACCAAAGCTTGTATAAAGGGGGTCAAATAAGGTGTCTAAGACAAGATTATGGTTGGCTGGTTAGGATTATGCTGTCTGTTTGCATGTATCATTTTTGTATTTAAAGTTATAAGTATTGGCTCTATACTGTCTGTAGTTCAAACTTGTGCTGTGCTTCTGGGTGACACCCCAGACAAGCTGGTGTCAGCTCTGCCTAGCCTGCTTGATGGCCAATTAAGGACCATCAGCTACACAACTGACCCATTGAGAGAAGGCAGACACGCCTTGGGACTCAGCAAGGTATGCAGGGACCTGCCTATGGACAGAACTCTTGAGGTTTTTCCAGGCCATGGGATGGACAGCTTGTCTTTGGGACAAAGAAAGCAGAGACCACATGGCAAGAGACTATAAAAAGCTCCTGCAGCTCCTCCATCTTGTTTTCAATCTTGCTTCATACCTCTGGAGAGACTTTGCTACAAACTGAAGCTTTGAACCAAGGACTGAAAGACCCATCTGTGACGAAGTGGGACTGTTCTTAATGTTTCCTCTGAATAGTGTGGGGGTGCCTCAGTTTCCCCTAGGCAGTTCTTAAGTATCTAGGGGGTGGAGTAAGGGTGTATGATCATTGCAGAGCCCTAGAGGGCAGGTGTGTGCAGGAGTCTGGACACAGAGAATGGCCGACACCCTGTTTCCTGGCAACTGATGGCCTGGGCCCTTCCCCCCCTGCAAGGTGAGAGCTGAAGGGTTGGAGAACAAAGGAATCACGTGACCACCTGGCCCGGGAAAGGAACAAAGCCCAGAGGAGGAGGGGCTGGAGGGGGTTTTCAGTTTGGGGCTGGCTGGACACATGGAGTGAAGGGCAGACGTGGTTGTCTGGCTCACTGCCCCCCAAAATGGACCCAGCTGAGGGGTCCTGTTCTCTGCACCTGCAAGCTCTGTTTTAGACCATGTTCCTGTCGTTTAATAAACCTCTGTTTTACTGGCTGGCTGAGAGTCACGTCTGACTGCGAAGTTGGGGTGCAGGACCCTCTGGCTTCCCCAGGAGCCCTGCCTGAGCGGACTCGCTGTGGGAAGCGCACGGAGGGGCAGAGGATGCTGAATGCTCCGAGGTCAGACCCAGGAAGGTGGAGCCGGGTGAGCTGTGTGTCCTGAAGACAGGCTGCTCACAGAAAGGCGACTGCCCCAGAGTCCTGACTGGCTTCATGGGGAGCAGTTCCAGAGCATCGCCCAGGGACTCCGTGACACCATCCCAGCTGGGGATGTTCTCCAGAGACTTGATTTGAACCTGCAGTTTATTCTATCACCGCTGCAAGCCTGAACCAAGAACTTTGCCATCACTGTATGTCATTGATTCCATTTAACCAATTCTAGCTCTGATCTCTATCTTTTTCCTTTTATGAATAAACCTTTAGATTTTAGATTCTAAAGGCTCGGCAACAACGTGATTTGTGGGTAAGATCTGACTTGTATATTGACCTGGGTCTGGGGCTTGGTCCTTTGGGATCGAGAGAACCTTTGTTCTTTTACTGGGGTATTGGTTTTCATAACCATCTGTCCCCATAACGAGTGACCCTGGTGGTGATACTGGGAAACTGGAGTGTCTAAGAGAATTGCTTGTGTGACTTTTGGTTAACCAGTGAGGTAAAACCAAAGTCCTCTCTGTCTGGTGGGTTTGGTTTGCCTTGGTGTGCAAAGGAACCTCAGCCTTGGGCTGTAACTGCCCTGCTTTAAGCAATTTGTCCTGAATTGGCACTCTCAGTTGAGTCCTGCCAGAACCAGCATTGTTACACCTTGCTTAGCCTGTTGCATTGCTCAGCGCTCGGCAGCTGGGGTGCAGGGAGCCGCTCACCTTTGGGATGCAGCCAGCAGCGTGCTGCCAACTTTCCAGCCTGGTGTAAAAACAGCTCCACTTAGCGCCAGCCTCCCTGCAACCTGCGGCTGCCTTTGTTTCCAGCTGGAATAAAGCGTGGCACTGGGGAGGGATGCACCGCTACCTGCAGAAGGGGCTGAGTGTCTTCTCAGCCGGCAGGAGCAGGGGCTGGGTACTGCTGAAGGGGGAGCAATCGCTGAGTGCTGTCAAAGGCTGTGGCTCTGGAGAAGCAGGAAGGAGCTGCTTGGGAGTATTTGTATCTGATGCTTGGGAGTATTTCTCAGCATCAGAAAGAGCATTTGCTCCTTTTCTGCCTGAGCTGCAGGCCTAGGGGCGGCTGTGGCTCTGTCCAAGGAGATGCTTTCTCAGATGTATGTGGATTTTCTGGGGATTTCATCTGTGCGATGGGCTCTGATACAGGGGAGATGAATGTGCATGTCAACCAGGACCCTTTATTTGTTGACGGCATTTGGGAGGAGGTGGATCGGGCCTCTGGGTATAGGAAATGAGAGAGGGTTAGCAGATGTGATGCTCTATAGCGGAGAGACGCAGATGCAGATCATGGCAGGAAGCGAGTGTCCAATTGAGGCAGAAGAGGTTTGCCATGTCATTTCCCTGGCTAGGGCAGCATCACGCCTCCTGCTGAGCTGGGTCATAGACTTAGGTAGGGCTGCTTCCCAAGCCACTGCACCCAGCGTCCCAGTGTGTGTGAGGGGCAGCAGCCTTCCAGAGAATGGGTCAATCATGGGCATTAAGCACGTGTTCCTGAAATCATGTGATTTTAAAAAATACCAAGTTTGGGGTTCTCGTTTTTTCTGGGCATTGAGCCTTTAGGGCTCATGTTTTCCAGCTTCCTTGGTGACCATGCCAGAAACGTAACTTGTGTTGTTGTTAATAATTAAAGCTGAAATTCTGTCAAAATAACAAGACTCCCAGAGCTGGGTCTGTAAGAAAGAAACACCGTATACCATGAGAGAATCCCAAGAGCTGGCAATGCTGTGTCTCACCCAGAGGTAGTTGCATTTCAGGGGAGGATGAAGTTAGAAATTCCTGGTGGCATGTGGCAGGGAAGGTGTTTTGGTCTCCTCCCCAGAGATGTAAGGGGCTGTGATATGCATATCCCGGCCAGGCATGTGCCAAGGTGAGACCTGAGCGACAATGGTCCCAGCAGAAACCCCTAGTGCGGACACAGTTATGCTGGCGGAGCTGTGCTGTTACCAGGACAACTTATTTCTCCAGGGCAGGGAGGGGTGAGGGGGCTGAAATACACAATGCCAGCAAAAGCCCAGCGTTGCTGGAATAGCTGTGCCCGGCTAAGAGCGCTTTGCAGGTACGGTGCTGCCTGGCGGGACAGGTGGACCGGCAACACCTTCCAGGTGCAGACTGCTATAAGTACCACTGCTCTCGGACCGGCCTGTTCACAACAGACCTGATTGGAGAAGGAGCAAAGAGGTTCGCTGGAGACCCTTTCAAAGCAGGGCAGCTGCCCCCGCACGCTCGCACTAAGCAGCAGCCTGGGCAGGAGGAGGATTGAGGCCTCTATCTTCCATGTGCAGAGCAGCCTCGTCCGCCTGGGGGCCCCATCCCTGAGCTCACGGAGCTGATACGTTAGAGCTGGGATTCTCCACTGGGGCCTGGGGCAGTATGGTGCAGTGCGGGCAGGGGCTGGGGTCTTCACCATCATGTCATCTGACCCTGGTTAAAACACCATTGCCACGTCTGGTGGAGAACCATCAGCGTGTCTTGCTCCTCATCCCAGCACTGCTGGCAGCGTGGCCACCCCGAGCCCTGGAAACGGAGCCCCCGTGGCACCCATCACAGATTTATGTGCCTCTTATTTTATGTGGGTTCAACCCAGTTTTCTAAACCCTGACTCTGCAAAGCATTTCTGGGTGGCCCCCAAGCCATGCGATGGGATTATTCATGGGGGCCTGTGCATTGCCAAGGCCTTGGTTTCCCTCTGCTCTTTCCTGGGCTTGAGGAGACCTGGCTGCAGTGGGAAAGGAAGGGTTCTGACAGGATCCCTGCTTCTATTTGGCGGCCCAGCGTGAAATCCTGCCAGCTGTCAACTGCGTGGGCCCCTGCTCGCTGCCTGGGAACCGTGACATTGTCGGAGCAGGGGGTGATGCCCAGCCAGCCCTCTGGGCTGTGATGTCTGTAACGTCCCCTCCTGTCCCCAGTTCCCTGTGCCCTGACGTGAAGGAAATGGACACTGTAGAATGTGCAGGGCCTGAGCCAGAGCCCACAGAAGTCTGGCTGGCTTAGAGGCCTGAGCTATGGCGCTTCTCTCTGGTGAGGTGCTGATTCGAGTCCTGCCCAGGCTGGTGGCACACGGCAGATGAACTGGGCATCTCAGCCCAGTTTCTGGTGGCAAAGTGCCCACATCCGCCCCCTCCGCGCCCCCCCCCCCCACAGCTGGCCGTAGCTGGGCCCTTTGCTGGGATTCTCTGAATGGGCCACGAAGTGAATGAGCTCCTGTCCCATCCCAGAGTGGGTCCAAGGCAGGATTGAGTCTCCCCTGCTGCTTTCAGGGCTGTCCCCATTCCGTGGTTCTGCAGGGGCCCTTAAGGTAGCATAAAACGGCGTTTACAAAGCAAGGGACAAAGTGCCATTTATCAGAGCTTGGGTGAACGTCCCTGTTTGTCACTTGTTTAGTGTTTGCTTTCTCTCTCCCACAGAGCTCCTCGGCTCGGCAAAGAGAGTCAATGTCAACTTCCAAGACACTGATGGGTAAGTAGATGCAACCTGCATGCTCCGGTGACCAGCTGAGTGTGTGACTGGGGGCGCTTGCCACTTGGATAGTGCTAGAAGAAGAGCGTCTCAGGTGTCTGAGAGCCCTCCAAGCTCCATGAGGACATTGGGCTGCCCTGTACATGAATTGCTGTAAATGAAGTGGTCTGTTGGCACCTGCCTTTTCCCCCTGGTTTACGAGGGCCTCTTCTTCTTTCGGCCAGCCCAGCTCTGAGATGTCTCAGGGTTCGGGAGAGGGAAGAGACTGCGTCCGGTTCTGCAGTGTCCCCTCCCCACGCGCTGAGCACCCCCAGTGTTCTCTCTTCGGCGCTCTCTGCCCAGCTGCTTTGCTTTATGAGCTGCTCTGGGAAGCGGGGTTGCTAATTGTTGCATTCGAGCAGCCGGGGGGGAAACTAGTTTCCAAAACCTCCAGTTTCCATGTTACCCCCAGACAGACTCCTCTAGTTGGCACTGTGTCCCCTGAGTTTTCGGTGGACGGCAGAGGGGAGCGCTGCCTGCCCTGGGGAATGCAGGGTGCGGGGCCTTGTATCTAATGGGCCTCAGTGGAATGGCCACATGATTCGTGCCAAATCAGTTATGCAGACACCGGTGGAATGAAAAGCCAGGCTTGGCTCCAGTCCCGTGGGCTGGATTTAATGCTCTGCTGCGTTTCCCTCAGACCGGGCCTGCGTGGTCTGGAAAATGGGCACAGGATGTCGAGAAGTCACCGGTTACAATTACGTTCTCTCCCTTCGAAGCCAGCGCTGCCTAAACTGCTCTGGAAACCAGCCCCTGGCCTCTGGCTGGCTCCAAAGCCCTGGGCTAGAACAAGCTGCAGTTCCACAAATTGGGGCTGCCCGCTGTGGAAACCCCGCCTGGGCTAGATGCTACCCTCACCTGGGAAGACACAGCCTCTATCCCCAAAAGCTTAGTCTGAAAACAGACTAGAGCCCAGGTGTTCTGTCTCCACTCCCCGGCGCTCCCCTCTAGGTCGGGCTTCCTCCGAGGTAGGTTCCCTGTAAATAATGGCGCAAACCTGCCTGGCCTCGCAGTCGGTCTGAGGCTTCCTAGGCTACCTGCACAGTCACCAGTAACTCCATCGGAAAAGGACCGGGGATATTTTGTAGGCAGGGGTCTGTGTTCCACCCGCAGCCTTCAGTGACCCAGCTAACGGGGGGATACTTGGCCCCAGATGTTAGCGGCAACAGGCTGGAAAGGGGGAGTGCACAGCCCGGAGCTCAGGCCCGGGGAAGGGTCAGGCTGGGCCCCTGGCTGACTGCGCCTGGCTGGCTTGCAGGCGCTCTGGACCTGTGGACGTGGGGAGGAGACCCTCTCCCTCGCGCTCCTGGCTTGGTCTCATTACGCTGTCGAGCAAGCATGGCTCCTGTTGCTCTGGGCCTGGCTGTTCCCGCTCGGAGCAGCGTCTGAGTGGCTGCGGGGACCGCGAGACGCCTCCACAGGGCACGGATTCCTTTCCATGAGCAGCATCTGGCCTGGCTCTGTTTGAGCCCCGATAGCTCCTGAGCTGGATCTTCAGCCGCATCCCGCAGCGCAGACAGTGCCAGGCAGCATCACAGGCCATAGCGTGCACACACATAGTCCTAGGCAGCGCTGCTGGGCAGGGGCATGGAAATCCAGAGGCTCGAAGGCCAGTGCTCAGGGCTGTCTGTTGCCCTGTTCTCTCCTTCGCAGCCGAATCTTCCGGTCCCCTGCTCTCTGTAGCATCAGTAGCAGCCTGGACTCTGCTTCCTCCCCCATATACCTCTCTGAGATCACAGTGCCCTGGCGGGGCAGAGGACGGGGTGGGAGGTGGCGCCAGGTGGCTCTCCAGGCCTGGGGCGGCAGCATGGGCCGGGGAGCTGGAGCCCTGGGGGGTGGGCAGCCCTTTCCAAAACCACCTTTCAGAGCTTTTTTTTTTTTCTCTAGAAACAAAATCAGAGGCACACAGCCCCAGATAGCCCCACGGCACAGAGAGACACGCTCACCCCACCCTCCAAAGCCCTCTACAGGCCGGGTCGATCTGGGATCTCCCGCGGTGCCTTAGGGAAATGCCCCAAGCCTTCCTGCAGTGAGCTCCCTGGGGACAAATGTTGGTTTCTGCATGAGTCTCGGCTTCATGCAGACAGCACAGAGCTCACGGCCATGGCTGTCGCCCATCTCCCCCAGCCCGGTGGGCCAGCCCCAGCCCTGAAAGATGGCCAGCAAGTGGCTCAGGGAGGCCGGTGTGCCCCGACAGCAGCAGCACGGAAGCTGGTACATTGGGTTTTTCTCTCATCCCTTGGAGCTGAACGGATGCAATCTGTTCTGCCTTTGCCAGGTAACTCCTAACCCCTCCAGAGCTGCGCACACAGGTTTGCCTGGAGCAGGCAGGGCCAACAGAGACGCTGGGGAGCTGGAGCTGAACAGAAAATGAATAGCTGCAAAAGCCGCCCGGCTTCTTTACTTCCCCCTTCCCCCGGCCTGTGACTGTGGGCTCTGCTGGCAGGAACGGCCATGGGCTGGCTCCCTGGGGGCTGCATGACCTAGCGGGGTTTTCCCACCCTGCCGTGCTCTGGATCAGAAGCCGACAGCAGAGAGGCAGGAGAGATGAGAGCCTTGCTGGGGAAGGAGCAGGCTGGCTGCAGCATCCAGCGGTGCAGATGAAGGAGCCTGCTCTGCGTGGGGAGGTGCTGCAGCCTGCTGGGGGGGTGGCAGGGCGGGGAGGGCACTGAGGCAGACCTGGGCCCAGCTGCAGTGCTGGGGGGTGTGGGCAGGCACCGCTGGAGAACTAAATCAGGGAGCTGGGTAGGTTCCAGACAGGGGTTCCCATTGAGTTGCTCGCTTTGGTTCCTATTGATTCCCTTCGCCTCTTCCTAGTGATTGGCCCCCCAGGGCAGTCTGCTGTGGCAATGCTGGGCTGGCCATGGGGAGCACAGTGCCTGCCTCCCGTGTAAATGACGTGGCCAGGGGTTGCTATCTGGGTCTCTCGTGGCCTCTGGATTATTAGTACTACAGGCCCCTCGGTGGGTCGCCAGTAGCGGGGGATTGAACCCTTGAGCCTCTCTGTTCCAGCCCCCAGAGGAGCCAGAGCGCCCCCCAGTGTTCATGTGATCACGGATCCTGGCTGACTCCCACTCTCTGTGCCCTGCGCTGGAGTTGGAGGCAGATCTGAGCGCCATCCTGTGCTGCAGTGAATGGGCAGGGAGCTTTGGCCAGGCCCCTCAGCGCAGTTCTCCTGCAAGCAGCCCGGGGCATTCAGGGCAGCTGCTGTAGGGACACGTAGAGGCAGCCTCCGTCCCCAGGGCTCTCCGCAGTGGCTGGTCAGCTGGGCTGGCAGCGGGAGTGAATGGGAAATGTCACATCCAGCTCGCTCGTCGCACCATTGTCACTGCTGTGTCCGAGCACCTGCCGTGCTCCCTGCTAATGGGCCGGCGCGTGGGTCACTCTGCGGGCTGGGGCAGGGGCTGGCTTGTGATTCGGCCTGGAGGTTTGAGTTCGCCCCTTTGCTGTAATGCACAGCGGAGAGGAGCGGGGTTCTCCTAGAATGGACCATTGTCCAGTGGTTAGTGCCGGGGCTGGGTGTCAGGACTCCTGGGTTCTTTCCCAGCTCTCCTGCACACTGGCTGTGTGACCCTAGGCAGATCACCCCCCCCGTACGTTGGTTTTGCCAGCTGTGAAATGGAGGTGACGGTACTGCCCGGCTGCAGTTGAGTTCTTGTCTGCCAGCACTATTGGGCAGCACTGCCCTGCTCCTTCCTGTGGGAGGCCCGCCTTGCTCAAAGCCACCCTGCTCTGCGACGATGCTCCCGAGCTGGCAGGATTAGCGCCCGCGCTCCCTGCAGAAGTTACAGGCATTTTCATTAAAAATTAACTCAAAAGCCAGCCAGGCTGGATTAGGTGGGATGCTCCGGGGTGGGGGAGGAGGGAGAGACACCTCCAGAGGAGAATGGGAACGTGGGCCCTGCCCACCTGCTGGGGGTCCCCGGCTTTCCTCTGCATGGCATGAGCCCATCAGCTCCCAGCAGACAGTAGCTTCCTGCTGCAGTGGGGCTGGGCTGCAGGAGAATGAAGGCCCCATGGTGGAGGTTTCCTAGGGAGCAGGGTGGGAGCGGCTGCCATCTCTGGGGGGGTGTATCTGGAATCATGCAGCTGAGCACGGTCACTGTTGGGACCCACTATTCCTGCCATAGGGGCGCCCGTGTTGCTGGTTACAGCCCAGTTCTGTGGTGCCCACGCTCCCTGCTCCGTGGCTTTGCAGGGGGACAGTAGGGAGAATAGACTCAGTGATGGGAAGGCCAGAGGGGGCCCGTATGTTCAGAAGGGCTCTAGATCTCACCCAGCGAGTCCTGCTTTGAACTCAGAACTTCTGAGCGAGTAGATCCCGTAGAGAGAGACCGACGTCCCGTCTTGATTGAGAGATGCAGCCGCCCCCCCGAACTGTTCCAGTGGCTAACCTCACTGTTAAAACTGTGTGCCATAGACAGTGGCAAGGAGAGAGCGAGCTGGAGGGGTTATTGCCCTCCGGGTGGTGATGGATAATGGTTCCCCCTGACTCCCCGCTCCAGCGAGCAGCACCCCGGGGCAGGGGGCAGGGGTGCAGCCGGTTACCCAGACCCCTCTTCCCGGGTAAGGGGCTGTGCGCGGTGGGACGCAGGCAGCCGGAGAACATTGTGGTGGCGGAGAGGATTCTGGGTTGTTTACAGAAGCAAGTAGGTCAGCGCCTGTCCTGCTTTCTCCCGATGAGCCTGGATGGGCAGGGCTGAGCAGCGCCTTGCCCGTGTTCCCTTGCAGCCTGGATTGCTCGGCTCAGCGTCCGGCTGCCCCACACGCAACCCAGCACACCCGGTCTCGTAGCTGGAGAGGCTGCAGGGCTCAGTGGCTGGAGCAAAAGATCTGGGACCCAGGAAAGCTCCTGGCTGATTGGTTATATTTCAGTAGCAGCTAGAGGCCAGGCAAGATGGGGCCTCCATTGTGCTGGGCACGGCACGCGCACACAGCCCCTGCCCCGATGGGCCAAACAGGCAACGGGTGAGAGGGAAACTGAGGCACCGAGCAATGAAGGGCTTTGCCCAAGGTCACCCAGCAGGCTGGTGCTTGGAAGAGAACCCAGGCCCCCTAGATCCCAGGCCGGTGCTCTGTGCACTAGGCTGCACTGCTTTTCAGTCCCATTGGGTTCTTGGTCCAAGACATACGGTCAACTGCAGGCCTGGCTGGAGATTCGGGTGCCGATCCCGGGGGGTGGGGGGAAAGAGGGAAGAATTTAGTGAAAAAGCAGATTCCCTGCCCTGTGGTGGCAGCGATTCCCTGGGTCACTGACTGCCTGGGATCCCACTGCCTGGACCTGCCTGCCCCTGGGAAACCTGGACCCCCCAGGGTCTCCCCAGAAACCCAGCGCTGCCTTCCAGCTGAGCTGTGCTGTGGATGGTCTCCCCAGGCGGGGCCCTGCTGCTGTAACCCAGGGGAAAATCTCACTCAAGTTCCTCACCAAAGGGCGAACCCCACGTCTCCCTCTCCGTGTATCCAGCCCTTGTTGTAGGCCTGGGCTGTGGGTGGTTCATGCTGCACCCTCTGCAGTGTTCTCCTGCGCTCCATGGGGAGGGGGCTGACTGCGAGGGTGGTGGGGTCCCCAGACCCTCAGAAACATCCTCTTGGCGCTAACCTGTGCCCGAGGTGCTGGGCCCCTCCTGCCCTAGCTGGGACCCCGGGGCGGGGGTCACGGCCTCACCCTGTGCCTTGTCTCCCCAGGTTCTCGGCCCTGCACCACGCCGCTCTCAATGGGAACACAGAGCTCATCTCACTGCTGCTGGAGGCCCAGGCCGCCGTGGACATCAAGGACAATAAAGGCAAGTGCCGGGGTCCCTGCCGGGGGCTGGGAGCTCAGGGTGACCCCAGTGAGCTCCGTAACTGGCCGGGTCGCAGCAGTGGGGCCCGGGCCGTGCCCATCCGGCTACTCCCAGCAGGGGCCGTAGGCTCTCCAGGCTGCCAGCCTGATGCCCCAGAGACCCCTAGCCACAGAGCAGGGCAGCCAGCTTGCTGGAGGGACCCCACCGCTGGGGCTGGTAGGGAGCTCAGGGCTTGTCCGGTGCCTGCGCCCTCACCCCCAGCACACGGGTACTTCGCCGGGAAGCCTGACTCTGCCTTGGCTGGGAGCAGTTCCTGGGCTCCCACCAGCCCTACGGGGGATACTGCCCAGAACCTGTCTCTTCGGCCGCCCCATCCTGCCCCATGGAGAGTAAGGGAGTGGGTGGGGGCTGGAGGCATTTGACCTGGCACGTGCCCCCATGCAGCCTCTGTTCATACACGCACCCCTCACTGCATGAGGCCTCGCGGGATCAAGGCCAGAACCAGGGCGGGCATTGACACGCTGCAGGGGGCTGCGATGGGCAAGCAGCTCCTGAAGCTGGGGGAGCTGAGATCCCGCTGGGCCCCTGCCAGCTGCCCCTCCTGCGCTTGGCCCCCTCCTCTCCCTGCTGTGTCAACCCCCCAGCGGGTCACTTCCACTCCTGGCCCTGGCCCTGGCCCGCTGGGGGTTGGACGGGAGCAGCGCAGATCCCGGGGCCACGCCACGCCTTTGGGGGCAGCCGCTCTGTCGGCTCCACCCTGGACAGGGCTGGAGGTGGGAGGCGCCCACTCAGCCAGGCTTCCCGTGCGGGCTGCGGCCGGGTTGCTGGCTAGGGGGGCAGCTCTTGCTCAGCCGGCCATTCCCCTTCCGCCCCTGCAGGGATGCGGCCCCTGCACTACGCTGCCTGGCAAGGCAAGAAGGAGCCCATGAAAATGGTGCTGAAAGCCGGGTCGTCTGTGAACGTCCAGTCGGACGAGGGGCAGATCCCCCTGCACCTGGCGGCGCAGCACGGCCACTATGACGTGGTAAGGGGGGCTGGGCTCGCTGGCCACCCCCGGGGGCCTGGTCCACTGCCCCCGCGAGGTGGGAGATGTGCGCCGGGCCAGGACCAGGTGGGCTGGCACTGGCTGGGTGCGCTGACGGCGGGGTCAACCGGCAGCAGCTCCGCAAGCATGGTGGACGCTGAGGGTGTGGGAGGATGGGGAGCATCTTGGGAGGGGACCCTGCACCCGGGGGCTGGCCAAGACCATGTGCTCAGCTGCCTGTCCCTGAGCCAACTTTCTTCCCTGGGGCATTCTGAGCGCTGGCCAGCAGGCCGGGCGGCTGTGTTGCTGGGCCCTGCCCAGGCTCCTGCTCACATGGGCAGTAGGCGCTGGCTGGCTGGCGCTCTGTGTGTCCTTCCATAGCAAGGGGCAGAGGGGGTGTGCCCCTGCCAGAGGGCAGGGGACTGAAGGGTGAGTTGGGATAGCAGCTGGGGTGGAGGCCTGGCCACATGTATCACAGCTGGTCATCCGTCGGTGAGCTTGGTTGGTCTCATTCTCGTCCTGGCAGGACATTTCTCCCTATCACAGAATCACCCTTCAGTTTGGCGTAACTGGCATTCCAAGAAGTCTGGGGTAGCAGGGGGCTGTGGGGCAGGATTGAGGGGCACTGGCAGAGCTGTGGGGGGGCCCAGGGCTGGGCTAGCAGGGGGCTGCGGGCAGGGATTGGGGGGCACCGGCCAAGCCAGCGTCAGAGTGCAGTCTCCAGCGGGCAGCCTGGGGCGGTGCCACGTACTCTGGACTGGTTCCTGCCCTGGCTGGAGCTGCCCTGATGCCCCTGCCCCGAGGGGCGGGCCGGGCTCTGTGTGCTATGCCAGCTCTGTGGGGCGTCGTGCTGACCTCCACCGTCTCTGTCCGCCCCGCAGTCGGAGATGCTGCTCCAGCACCAGTCCAATCCGTGCATCATGGACAATTGCGGGAAGACGCCCCTGGACTTGGCGTGTGAGTTTGGCCGGGTCGGGGTAAGTCCGTCCAGACGCCTGAGCCCCCTTTCGACGTCGCGGGCAGCAGCGCCAGTGGAATCTGCTGCAGGGCTCAGCTGGCCTGGCAACCCCCTCCCTGGGCAGGGCTGGGGTTGCGTGTGCGTGGGGAGCTTCGCCCTGCCCCTGCCCGGGGTCCCACTCTGCCCCCGGGATCCTGCTCTCACTTCCAGCAGGGGAAATCTGGATTCACTCCCCAACTGCCCTGGAGTCACACTGGGGAGACGCAGGGCAGGATCCAGTGTCCCTCCTGCTCCACGTTGGCTGAGACTGAGAAAATACTCCCTTGCATTCCCACAGCCGGCACGTAGCGCCTGGGGCGGGGGGCACAGGGAGCCAGGGGCTGGGACGCCCCCAGGGGGCCGGGGGAGGTGAGTTGACCTGTTGATGGTGGCTCCCAAAGGCAGGGCGGAGCACAGTGTGTCCCGGGAGCCGCAGGGCAGGCTGGCTCCGGGCTGCAGGGCTGCTCCCCTGGCAGGGGCAGCATTCGGTTGGGGGCGGTGGGCTAGGCCGCCTGGCAAACAGCCCCAGGGGCTCAGAAGAAACGGGGGGTAGTTAGATGCTTTACAAACCTTCCTGCCCGGGCTCTCCTGGCCAGTGCGGAACGTTCTCCGGCTCGCTGAAAGACGCCAGCCTGTCCGTGGCCAGCAGCCCACCCGTAAACGGCCGCCCTGCCCTGCGGTCCGGCCCGGGCCCTGCCCCGGGGATCCGGTTCAAGGCGTCGCCGCACCCCAAGGGTCTGGTGCCGGGGGGGGTGGCCCAGCCCGTGCTCTCTGCACTGTGTCGCTGGGCCGCGTCCCGCCCGCGGGCGGGGATCTGCATCGCCAGGGGAGCCGAGCCGTCTCTGAAACGTCTCCCTTCCGCCTCCGGGGCCCCAGGTGGTCCAGCTGCTGTTGAGTAGTAACATGTGCACAGCCCTGCTGGAGCCCAAGCCGGGAGACGCCACCGACCCCAACGGCACCAGCCCCCTGCACCTGGCAGCCAAGAATGGGCACATCGACATCATCAGGTGAGCGCCAGCCCCCCCCGGGGGAGGGCCCCTGCCGCCGCCGTGGGGGACGATGTGGGGAGGGGCTGCTGGAGAGAGACGCCCCCTTGGCAGCTGGTGACTCCGGTCTCTGGCCCCGGCTCGTCCCTGGTCTCATGGGGCTGTCGGCGTTCGGCTGTGGGGCCCAGGGCCCCCTGCCCTGGCATGCTCTGCGCTGAACCCAGGTGCCTTGTCTCTGCCCCCTCGGGCGTACCCCTCCTCTGGCAGGAGTCAGGCTCCTGACGTGGGCGCAGGCAGATGGGGCACGCGTCGCCCATCCCGGCGGGCAGCGGCAGGCGAGAGCTCTGGGGGGCTGCGTGCGTGGACGATGCTCACTTTGCCTTGGCTGCAGGGACCGGGGACAAGGTTCATGACTGGAGGACCCACCAAGCTGGGCTCTTACGCGCAGCCGCGCCCCCAGGGCCAGGCCCCTCCTAGCGCCAGGGCCTGGGTCGCTGCGTGTCCTCCCCTGCTGAGCTGAGTGCTCTGGTCACGGCTGGGGCACGGCCTGCCCCGTCGGTCACAGGGGGCTGCCACGAGCGGGCGTCTGAACCCAGGGCTGCAGCTCCCAGCACCCTGGCAGGTTGGCGGGAGGGCGCTGCCTGTCTGGGTCCTAGTCCGGGGATCCTGGCTGCCAGGCGGCGTCTGCAGCCCCCCCAGGCAAGAAGGATTGGGGACGCTGCCGCTGGCTGCGAGGTGGGGCCATGCAGGTGGCAGGGCTGGCAGTGATGTAGCACATGGGCCCAGTGGTGGTGGAGCGGCAGGGAGGGCCCAGAGCGATCCCGTGGCAGTTTCTGCAGATGAGGGGTTAGCCCCAGGCCCTGCCCAGACCCAGCTGGTTCAGTGGCAGCGGCAGGGTGAGAGTCCAAAGCCAAAGAACACACTGTCCCGGCCTCGGGGCTCGTGGATCGAGCTCGCTGGCAACTCACCGCGAAGGTCCGTGCTAGCAGCTTGGTTGGCTTGGCCTCCTGACGCGCCGTGTGCACCGGGATCCCTCCCTTCTGTCCCCACGTCTTGTGCAGTATGGCCGTGCACCGTTAAACAGCTGCTGCGTTCCACCCCAGAGCTGGCTGCCTTTCGGTGATGCAGGAAGAGCATCTGGGGTTTGGGGAAGGGGGTGTAAGATTGTCTCCCTGGCAGTGCCCTGGGAGGGGCATGGAGGGTTGGTAGAATGCTTAGTGGTGGGGTGGAAGGGGTTACACCTTGCAGCGAGCTGTGGTGTTTGGCGGGAATCCCTGGTGGGTCGTTTAATTCCCTGCGTGTCTAGCCTGTGAGTGTTTTACTATTTAGTGCAATTCAGGGACTGGCGGAAAAGCTCCAAGCCCGTTTCTGTTGTTAGTGCGGCGAACCTGGCCTGAGGCTTAACTGCTGTCTGACTCCCCAGTGCGAAGCACACCCCAGGAGATGGGGGGCTGGAAGCCTCTCCCCCATGCCCCGAGCTGCACCCCACAAAGCCATTTCCTATCCAGCCTGGCACCTGCTCCTGGTGCAGACAGAGGCTGAGTTCACGTGTTCCCCCCATTTCCCCCCCACCCCGGGCACTGGGCCCAGGGTGGGGGGCTGAGCTCCCCTGCTGCCCCCCAGGGACACCAGCCCGGGACACTGGGCTCGGGTGAGGGGCTCTTGGCCCTTGGCGGGGGGTCTCAGGGGAGGAGAGCGCCAGGCCCCAGGGCTGGGCACTTGGGGGCCGGGTGCAGGTTTCTCATTGAAGCGGTGACACCTGCTGGAGAAGCTGCGGCATTGTAGTGGAGGTGGCTGGTAGTGTGACGAGGGGCTGGGGGATGCGTCCCTGATGCCCAGCACCCCCCGAAGTCCTGGTGCCGTGCGCCGGCCTTGGGCTCTAGGCGCTTCCAGCTCACTGCAATCCCAGAGCACAGGCTGCTGGGTCACTGGCCCGCCGGAGCGCTCCCAGGACGCAAGGCAGGGCGCGTGGCAGACCAGCCCCAAGGGAGCCAGCTGTGAATGGGGTGGGCCCCATGCCAAGGGTGCCAGGGACCTCCCCCTAGGGGACCAGCTGCCACCCCGCTGGCAGAGGAGATGCTTGGGCTGCGGGAGCGGCGTTTGGTCCCGTGCCCAGGGCTGCGATGGTGGGAGGAAGAGCGGCCCAGGTCAGACGGCTTGCCGCCCGTCCCTGCTCTTGCCACCGTGGCAGGGAACGGAGCAGGAGCCGCATGCCTGTTGGCACCTGGAGCACGGCCAGGCCCCCAGCACCTGTTAGAGCAAGGCCAGGCCCCCAGCCAGGTGCCCGCCTCTCAGAGCCACCCAGCCCCTGCCCTCACAGGATGCCCGAGAACAGCCTCTTAGCCCCATAATCTGCCACTTGCAAATCCTCCGTGAGTCCCATGGAGGCGGCTGCCCTGGGGGATTCCCCCTGTCACGGAGTCCCTGGGCGATGCTCTGGAACTGCTCCCCATGAAGCCAGTCAGGACTCTGGGGCAGTCGCCTTTCTGTGAGCAGCCTGTCTGCAGGACACACAGCTCACACAGCTTCCACCTTCCTGGGTCTGACCTCGGAGCATTCAGCATCCTCTGCCCCTCCGTGCGCTTCCCCCAGCGAGTCCGCTCAGGCGGGGCTCCTGGGGAAGCCAGAGGGTCCTGCACCCCAACTTCGCAGTCAGACGTGACTCTCAGCCAGCCAGTAAAACAGAAGGTTTATTAGACAACAGGAACATGGTCTAACACAGAGCTTGCAGGTGCAGAGAACGGGACCCCTCAGCTGGGTCCATTTTGGGGGGCAGTGAGCCAGACAACCACGTCTGCACTTCACTCCATGTCCCAGCCAGCCCCAAACTGAAACCCCCTCCAGCCCCTCCTCCTCTGGGCTTTGTTCCTTTCCGGGGCCAGGAGGGCACCTGATTCCTTTGTTCTCCAACCCTTCAGCTTTCACCTTGCAGGGGGGGAAGGGCCCAGGCCATCAGTTGCCAGGAAACAGGGTGTTGGCCATTCTCTGTGTCCAGACCCCTGCGCACACCTGCCCTCTAGGGCTCTGCAATGATCATACACCCTTACCCCACCACCTAGATACTTAAGAACTGCATAGGGGGGAACTGAGGCACCCCCACAATATTCGGAGGAAACATTAAGAACAGGCCCACTTCGCCACATCTCTCCCCCCTTCGAGATCGAACTGAGCGGGGTCACTTTACCCGGTGACCTGGGGAAGTTCGAAGCCACCAACATTCCCATGGATGCCCCAGCATCTCTCCCATTCCTTGGTAGGAGTTACACCAGGCCCTTCCAGTTTCACGCCCTCCCTTAGGTCAGGGGTGGTCGATAGCACTTGCAGGCCGCATGTGGGAAGGTTTATGCAGCCCATGCCCTTTGGCCACCCCAAGAATGTCTCCCCATTGACCATCACCTTCTGCTCCCACTGGAGGTCCGGGGGGCCTGGCCCCAGGAAACTCCACACAGACATATAGGTTGGGGTCAGGAGTGGGAGCCTGTCCACATCCGCAACCATCTGGCTGACGGAGTCTAAGGCCTTGGGACCCAGCAAGGGAGCTAGACACCGGGGCTTTTCCGCAGGGTCCCCTTGGTTCAAATCGCCAGCCTGCTCAAAGGCAGTGAGGTGGGCATCCAAACCCCCCCCCCTTAACCAGGGGCAGCAATTTAGTCTCGAGGTTCCCTGCGGAACTGGCCCCCCGGGGTCTATCCCCACTCACCCCTGAGGGGTCCCCTAGGCCTCTCCGCTCCCCCACCGCCAGTTCATGCTGCTGCTGCTTCTGCAGCTCTTTCTCGGGCTCTCGCTGTCTCTCACAGTCCTCTTGCTCTCTCAGACTCAGCTCCAATCCCGTCCGTCTCGATCCCCCGATGGGGAACCCGATCGTGAAGACCCTCGTCTGGTCGGGGACAGGAGTCTTGGCGGTGCCTGGCTCCCGCTTCAGCTGCTCCCAGATCCTGCTATAGCCCCAGTTGGGGTCAGGAATCTGTTCCTTAGAGCGGTCATCCTCCTCCAGCTGCACGATTAACTCTGCTTTGGTGCACTTTCCAACGCTCAACCCTCTCTTTTTGCACAGGGTGACAATGTCCTTCTTAAGGAGACGGTGACAGGCCATCACTCCGCTCCTCCCAAGTTGTTGTGGACTCACAGGCCCGTGTGTTCTCAGCTCCCCACGGTTTCCAGGGAGAACCCCTAGTGTGCCAGCCCTTCTCGAGGTCACCACCTCTTTGCCAGGGTCGAGCTGCAGACTCCTCCGCCCCTTGGACTGCTTGCTGCAATCCCCAGGGGAACCCTGCTACTACACAGTCCTTCTCGCTGGTCACACACTCCCAGGGGTTAACCGCCCCCCGAAACCGCTCCTCTCTGAGCCTTCAGCAGGCCTAGTCCTCGGCAATCCCCCTTCGTGTTACTGCTCCCCAGTCACTTACTGCAGGAAGCGCCATCCACGGGGTGCAGTACATCCCACCGCTGCCACCAGTTGTCACGGAGTCCCTGGGCGATGCTCTGGAACTGCTCCCCATGAAGCCAGTCAGGACTCTGGGGCAGTCGCCTTTCTGTGAGCAGCCTGTCTGCAGGACACACAGCTCACACAGCTTCCACCTTCCTGGGTCTGACCTCGGAGCATTCAGCATCCTCTGCCCCTCCGTGCGCTTCCCCCAGCGAGTCCGCTCAGGCGGGGCTCCTGGGGAAGCCAGAGGGTCCTGCACCCCAACTTCGCAGTCAGACGTGACTCTCAGCCAGCCAGTAAAACAGAAGGTTTATTAGACAACAGGAACATGGTCTAACACAGAGCTTGCAGGTGCAGAGAACGGGACCCCTCAGCTGGGTCCATTTTGGGGGGCAGTGAGCCAGACAACCACGTCTGCACTTCACTCCATGTCCCAGCCAGCCCCAAACTGAAACCCCCTCCAGCCCCTCCTCCTCTGGGCTTTGTTCCTTTCCGGGGCCAGGAGGGCACCTGATTCCTTTGTTCTCCAACCCTTCAGCTTTCACCTTGCAGGGGGGGAAGGGCCCAGGCCATCAGTTGCCAGGAAACAGGGTGT